AAGATACCTCACATGGAGGCAGCAGAGAGAGTTCTTAGATACTTAAAAAAGTATTCAGGAACAAGTCTACTATTCAGTAAACATAATCATCTAAAGGTGGAAGTCTTTACAGATGCTGATTGGGCAGGTGCTGTGGATGACAGAAAGTCCACAAGTGGGTATTGCACATTTGTGGGAGGAATATAGAGCCGGAAAAACAAGAAACAAAGTGTGGTAGCAAGGTCAATTGCTGAAGCGTGGTAGCAAGGTCAATTGCTGAAGCGGAATATAGAGCTATGGCACATAAGGTGGCTAAAGTTCTTTGGCTAAAAAACCTTCTAGGGGAGCTTGGAGTTTCTGTTCATAATCCCATGTCATTTTACTGTGACAACAAGGCAACCATAAACATCGCCAGCAATTCTGTCCTACATGAGAGGACCAAGCACAAGTGGACAAACACTTCATAAGGGAAAAAATGGAAAAAAGAGAAATTTGCATCCCTTATGTCAACTCCAAGGAACAACTTGCTGGTGTCCTCACAAAAGGACTTCCATACTCGCGGCACAATGAGTTGTGTGACAAGTTGGGCATGATAAACATATACAGCCCAACTTGAGGGGGAGTGTTGTGAAGCTTATTTATTTGTTCTCTGCAGTTGTTGTTAGTATGCTGTCAGCTAGTTTCTTTTCTTTCTTTTTTATTTGTTTGTTATTAGGAAGTGCCACCAGGGGCATACTTGTAACTTCTTATCCTTTTATATTAAGTGTTGGGTGCGCCAGCTATAGTTTTTTGACTCCCAATCGGATCTCTCTCTCCCTTCTCTTCTCTCTCGTCTCTCTCTCTCTAGGAAAGAACACAGGATGTACATAAGAGGTGTACAAACAGGCCAAAAGCACAAAAAGAAAAGCCTGTATCAAACTAAAGATGGAAAAGAGTTAGCACTATACAAAAAGTCCCTTCCCAACCCTTGCTTTGCTAAGGCATCTGCAGTTCTATTGATCTTCCGGGGAATCCATCTAAAGGAGCAGTTCAACAAAGAAGACAACTCGTGAATTTCTGCAAGGAGGTGAGCTAACTCCCAAGGACCCTCATCTGAATCTTTTGCCCACTTGATAGTAACTCTTGAGTCTCCTTATATTGCTAATGGAAATGATTGTTCTTTGCAATTCTTAAACCTTCTAGAAGAGATCAGACTTCAGCTTCTGAGGCATCTGCAGCTTGGGAACATGCATAAGCTGACTTACCACATGTACTGCATAATCTATGCCAGATCGGGTAAGGGACAAGTATATCAGTTTTCTACCAGCTTTTGATACCCTTTCCTTTTTGGAATAATCCTCGCCGACAAATTCCTATAGATCATGATTCTGCTCCATGGGTGTATCTGCTATTCTACTTCCCACCATAGCTATCTCTTCTAGCAAATCAAGACCATAGTTCCTTTGATATATATATATATATATATATAGTATGTATGTATGTATGTATATGTATATATACACATAAGTATACATATATATGTATACTTGCAGCTTCAATCTTAAGGAAGTACCTTAGATGGCCTAGATCTTTAATCTCAAATTTAGATGCCAAGAACTCGTCCAATATTTCTATCTCTTTTGGGTCACTCCCTGTGATGATCATATCATCCATAAAGACTATAAGTGTTATAAGCATATCACCCTATCTCCTTATGAACAAGGTATGGTCAGCCCAACTTTGAGTGTATCCCAGATTCTTCATAGCCCCACAAATCTTCTCAAACTAAGCTTGAGGAGATAGCTTCAACCCATACAAAGCTTTCCTTAGTCTACACACCTTCCCCTAAAAGTTATAGCTAGGTGGGGGGCTCATAAACACTTCCTCATGTAAGTCCAAGAATGCATTCTTTATATCTAACTGGTGTAGCTCCCAAGAGAAATTTGCAACTAAGGACAACAGAACCCAAATGGTGATGAGTTTGGCAATTGGTGCAAAAGTCTCCTTATAGTTAAGCCCCTCCTTTTGTGTAAACCCCTTTGCCACCAGCTTGGCCTTATATCTTTTAACCAAACCATCTGCCTTATGTTTCATAGTGAACACCCACTTACACTACACAGTGCTCTTGCCTTCTGGTTGATCCGCTAATTCCCAAGTCTTGGCTTTCACCAAGGCTCTCATTTCCTCATTCAATGACTCTCTCCATTTTGGATCAGATACAACCTCAGAGTACTTGGTGGGAACATGGACAGAAGAAATAGCAGACATAAAGGAATAATAACAAGGGGATAAACAAGAATAAGAATTATATTTAGCAATGAAGTGCCCAATGTTTTAAAAGCACAAGGGGTAATTTCTGCCTAAGGCGTAAGGCAAGGCATATGCCTTTTTGAAGCAAGGCACAAAAATACAAAAAAAAAAACCCAAAAAATGTTGTTCATTCGTCCTATTTGTTCATTCATTCTATGTTGGTTCTCAGGCTCAGCTGGTTATTCTAGAGGATGCTTCAAGTTTTCGAATGTTGGCTTTTTCTAGTTTCTTTTGGGTTGATTGGGGTGTAAGACATTTAGGGGCCTTTTGTTTTGGGATTTGGGTGTTTCTTGTTTATTATCTCTTTTGGAGGTGTTCCCTCAACACCTATTTAGGTTGTATTTCTTTTTCCTTTTTTTAATAAATTTTCTTTTTACTTATCAAAAAAGAAAAAAAATAATAAAATGCCTTCTTAAAATGCAATTAAAATTATAAAATCATTTTCTTTGTGTAGGGATTAAGAATTTAAGACCCTAACATGGACTTGTTTAGGCTTGCCTCAAGGGGCTTGGTTGACAGTCTGGGGTGCCCTTGGCCCAATCACTAAGTTCAAAAAAAAAAAAAAAAGCACAAAAAATAAAACAAGGCGCACACCTAAGATGAAGCGCAAGGCGCACCAGGCGTGTGCCTTTTGAAAGTGTTGTGCCTAGGGCCAAGAAGATGTGTGCCTTCTGCGCACTTAAGCATTCTCTCTGGAAACTAAACTCTCCCCTACACCACCATTAGTTGAAGAGAGGGGATAGTATGGGGTTCACTGATTTTTTTTCTAATATTCCTCTGCATTAGCAAGGTAAGAATTAACCTTCAAACCCTTCATCTTATAAACCCTCTTAAACATTTTACAGGATCAGCTCCACAGAGTCCTTTCCTTAAACAAGAAAAAAACCTTTGCAAACCAGCTCCATGGGGGCCTTCTGCCCTTGATACAAACAAACTGACTGCTACTTGACAGTCCCTTCTACTATCAGATCAGACCATCCTGAGGAATTGAAATTGCCCCCCATGCACCAAGCCCCATCTCAGAGCTCCCCCCCCCCCTGCTGTACAATTCTCCCCAAAGCCTACTTTTTTCTATAATGAGTGGGTCCATGCATGGAAGTAAGCATCCGTTTTTTTTTTCAGTTTAAATGAAACAGAATGCTCTCCTACCATTTCCCCCAAGCATTCAAAGCAGAATATTCTCTCTTCGTGTCTTTTAACCATCTTCTCTTACATATGCTACTCACTTGCCATTTGGACTTTTGTCTTTCTTGTTACTGTATGTTCTCGTTAGATTGGATTGAGATCCTCCTTTGTAGTTTTGTGTTTTTTTTCTTTTTCTTGCATTATAAGGACTAAGTGAATCACATCTAGAATAGTAAGTCAATCATAACAAAATATTGGAAAGTTTCAATGATATACTGAAATTTTACATCTCAGATGTATAATTTATCAAAGAAATTTGAAATATCAACAATATATTAGAGATATGAGAGGAGAAAAGATTCTTGAAATGTTGTATATCAACCTTAGTGAAATGGGGAGATTTCACCAAACCTCACTGATATTCCAAATCATGTTGACAAGATTGGAAAAACTATACAGCAGTACAGTTCTCCAACATGAATGTTTTTTCTTTTCTTGTAAGAAATGCCACATCAGAAAAAACAAAAATGCAGTCTTGGGTTTATTTATTTTTTCTCCCTCAAATTTTGAAACAAAAAAAGAAAGATGCTTTGAAAAGCAACATGTTTTCAGTACATAAGGTTGATATGGGTTACTATATAGTCTGCGGTACAAGTTTAAAGCTTCTATGGGTTAACTAAACCCACATTTAAATGGATTTGAATCCAAAGTGTATATAAATAAGAAAGGTAAGCTAATATTCATTTGGCCAGAATCTTTATCTGAATATTGTATGCTTTATGAAACATAATACCAACCCACCAGAGAAAAACATATATTTTTTTTTTTAAAACCAGAAATTCAAGAATGAATTTCTGGATATCAGTATTGTATACAAGAAATATACTACACAATTGCTTTCTGTATTTATGTTTTAACAATCACTATCATTGTTTTTTCTCACCAAATGTGGGACCTTTGATTTGGGAACTAAAAACACCCCCCAAAAAAAACTGAAGATGAAAAAGAAAGAAAGAAAGAAAGAGAACAATTCATATTGCAGAAAACCCTCTACATTTACATAACTTTGTCAAAATTATGCATAGTTGTTTATAATTATTATTTTTTACAAATTAGGAGATTACAATTGTGTTTCATTGTTCTTCCAAAAAGATGTTTTCTTTTTCATTCTTCTTTTATTTCTTTTTTTCGTTTTTTAGAATTCCTCCAACTATCCCATGCAATGAACTTTTATTAAGAAAAAGAAATATTTGGTATTGATCTTTCTTTTCTTATCTGTTATTTCTTTTTCTTTGGTCTTTCTTTCCCTACCTCTTGAATGTCATAACATGTGAAACTGACAAATTGTATTCAAAGTGCTTTTGTTTTAGTAACTCATTGATATCCATTTTCTGCTCTGGCCAAAATGGATGGATGACTTCAAGTTTACAATGCTATATTCAATTTTCTATTGGAAGTTTGTTCCATATATTTTATAATGTCAATAAGTCATTATTCTTTTGGTATCTTTTTAGAGTAATAAAATTATCTTCTTTTTTCTGATTAAAAAAGGTTGTAAATTTCAATTACAGATTGTCAATATTTACTCTTGTGTACTTTTTTGGCAGTCACTTGTCAGAATTCTTGAATCTGCATGTCCTGGAAACACTGCCTGCAACTCACTTGTCTTGTTTCAGGATCTTCTGGTGTCTACAACACTTTCTCCTGTATGGTTTGATATTTGGTACCTATTAAACTTAATTCATTTCCATATAGCATGTTATGCTTTATGTTTACTCCTTTAATATTTTAAGTTTAGGAAGTGCAAATCTTAGGAACATTTTATTACAAGAATTCACTTTTTTCAATTTATTGGCAGGATGACACAGTGAACCTATTTGCATATGCTGTTCTAAGGTTGACACCACGTTCTTTATCCCATGGTACAAACTCATGGTCCTATTTACGCAAGGGAAGTACTGCCTCACATGTTCCCACAGGCTCTATCTCAGACAATTCCGGGTCTGCAACAGAACAATCTTATACCTCCCACGATACTTCTCCTGGTAGACAAGGTCAGAGATATCACATTCCAAGGCCCTTGCAACGTGACAAATGGTCTAAAGGGAAAGATGGTTTCCTTGTTACCGAGACTTGGGGTGCAGAAGTTGGTAGTTTGATTCCTGCAACCCCTACAGTATGGCTCCAACAGACAGATGAGAGAATGTATCTTTGTGTGTTTCAGCAAAAATACCTTACGGTCATCCTTCTAATTCCTGTTAGCTCTATCATTAATGGGGAACAAGGGATATCTATGGTGAAGCAGCTAGTTCTTGAAACTGTTAGTATTCATTTGCCAGTAGTTCTTCTTGTATGGGTCTGCACTACTATGAAATTTATTTTTTTGTCTATGTGATGAAAAATGTCTGTGATAATCAAATACCTATACATGGAGTCTAAGTTGAGCCAGGTTAGGTTGGATTCAAGTCAACCCCTAACCCAACCTGATGACTTTGGATTGACTTGGGTTTGGATTGACTTAATTCCTTCACTTTTTTTTGCTAAAATTCTTAGACTTAAAATTAGCAGACTAAGTTTAACCAACTTTAACAATATTATGTGTACAAGGATGAAGCTATGGTGCTTCAGGAGTACCATACTAATGCTAGAAATTGTCTATCATTGAACTTAAAATTGTTGATACATATATTCATGGATCCATAGTTGCACACATACATTCATGAATGTGTACAACATATATACGTGCATATTTATATAATATTTACATATAAAATATGAAGACACATCAAGTTCGGGTAGGATCAGGTTGCCCAAGGCCTCAACCCTAACCTAAACTTCAATCTGAACCAGCCCAATCCTTTTTTTTTTTTTTGGGTTTGAATTCAGGCTAAACTGGCCCAAGTTGCATCCCTACCTATAAATGTGTAGAATACTGCTGTTAGACACAATATGTACCTGATATGACACTGGATACTTAAGACACAATTCTAAATCTTATTTTATAATGTTAATATTTTTAAAATATGTAAATTGGTATACAAGACCAGTATATATCTTGGAATTGTAATTAAATTGGGTAATATTAGTATTTTAGAAAATTATAGTTAACTTTGAAAACTGGATATAAAAGTATGATATCATCTAAGCCTTAAACCAACTATATGGGGTCGGCTAAACAAATCATGTTTTGTCATTCCATTCTGTTTAATGCCATATCTGTTGTTAAATTATGAGCAGTTAAATCATTTACTACTTTGACCCATGTCCTTTTGGTCTGCCCCTAGTCCTTCTAGCCCCTTCAACTTGTAACATATAAAATGTATGATATAATGATGTTAATAGGAAACCATGTATGTACCTCCTTTTCCTGTATCCATGTCCATGTCAATATCTGTATTTGAAATCATGAAAAAATGTAAGCATTTCTTGAATAAAGTGTTAAATTTTCATTTATATTTGTACTTTCTTTATTGAATATTTGACGTCCTTTTTATTTTTCCTCTTTGTTCCAAATTCTGTTTATTTTTGAGTTGTTTCTATACAATTTGGTCAAGAAATAGAAAGTGCTTTATTTGAGTTTGGTTGATTGGCTAACAATTCATTGTTACAACTTACAAGGTTCATGTTTTCGGTTTGTATGTTCTTTGTTAGAGTGTTGTTGTCTTCATGACTATTATGACCATATTTTGGTGGAATAGGCATTCTGGGTCATGATGCATTTAGATAAACCCAACTTCTGCATGTTGGATTAATCCCTTTCTGTAATAGTTTGATTAGGATTTGATGGTGCTAAATGTATAAATTTTGGAAGTAATGGTAGTACAAACAACAGAGCACAAGAATTCTGCCCATACTATGCATCTCTCTCCCCCAGAAATAAGGGAAAAAAATCTTTATCATGAATATCTGGAATATTACAAGAAAAATGTAAAAAGGTTTATCCAGTTCAAGACTGGCTTCAGATCCTGCTTCTTGTTCCAACATGGTCTTTCATTAATTGATAGTTATTATCATTTAAACTGCCATGTATTCATTTTTATTCTTTGATAACTTAACAGTGATTGTACTATTGAAAAAATCTTGAACTTGTGTTCATGAACATTACGAGTTGGATGATCAGGATATGCATTTATCTGTATAAAATTTATATATTTAGAAAAGAAAAAAAAAAAGAGAAAACAATTTGGTCCTATTCAAACCTAAAATCCTAGAACCAAAATCTCATTCCAACTTATTGTTCATTTGGAAGAAAAGTGATAGTGGTTTATCTCATAAGTTCTTATTGGGTTATCCAGTAGGACTAATTTGCAGCTATCTTTCATTCAAATCAATGTTGTCATTACTCAGAATGGATGCAAAACTGTTTTGGTCACTGGATCATGGGTTGAATGATCTGACCTTATGTCAACTATTTAACTAATTCAAATATCTCTTAAATATATTTTACATCAAAATAAGCTTAAAGCTATACATATTATAGGTTATGACAGATATTAAGGAATGTATTTTGGAATGTTTGACGAAGTTAACATTTATAAGAACTCGACAACCAAAAATTTTTTGTATGCTGTTCCTAGTTCAAAGTCCAACCATACCATCCGAATCTGAAAACATGTTAAATATGTCTAGTTTTTCTTTAATGGATAGCATAACATTGTATCCAAAGGTTGGAATAATATTTTTGTCTATTTGCTAGTATTATATATAACACTTGATGACTCCTACAGGCATCACTAAATATCTTTAAAGTTGAAGAAAGACTATCAAGAGGATGGGGTGGTGGAAATGCTTATCATGTCAGTGGATATCGCTATTTACTATGTGATCGTGACAGAAATATATCAAGGGCTTCTCCGCCAGGAAAAGTGACAACTTTAACAAAGGTTAGTCTATGGCTTTGGTATTTGGAACTTGTTTATACTTGGTAAGGCTTTATATAGATACTTGTGTTTGAATTGAATATTTCCATATGTATGCACTATTCCATGAAATGCATTGCTATTGCTACAAAATGCCTTTAACTTCTTCAAAAGCTAACTGAAAAGGCCAAAACAGAATATTGAACCCCCCCC